GAAGAGGAGGAGGAAGAAGAAAGAAGAAAACACTTTATTGAGATGTGATAAGAGCCTCAGGGCATGTTGCATTTTTTTCATATCAAGAACATTTCAGTCATGCATGTATATAAACTAGAGCTGATTATTTTTTCTCTTTTAAGCAAATGTATAGATAGCTTGACCAGTTTTTTTCTTAAAGTCACAGGTTTCTCTGCTTTCCCACTTTCTCATCTTTCACTTTACTTTGAAATATAAACTGGGAAGGAACATGCACCTGACATTACCCCTCTTTTGCTAGTTCAAGGATAAAGTCATAAGACATTAAATTAATGTGTAGTATTATGAATGTACTTTTTAATAAGTTTGGCATTCTTTAAAGTAGGGGTCAGCAAACTGTGGCCCCACAGGCCTCACTTGGCCTGCTGCCTGGCTTTCCAGAGACTGAGAGCTAAGAATGGTTTCACATTTTTATTTTTATATAATTGGGTGTTATATGAAAAATATATGAAATTAAAACTTTAGTGTCTATAAGTTGTTATTCTAATAGAGTTATGCTAGTTCATTTTGCTCATTATCTATGATTGTTTTTATACTCCAGAGGCAGAGTTGAGTAGTTTCAACAGACTGTATGACCCCAAAGCTTAAGATGCTTACATTTTTGGCCCTTTGCAAAAAAATTTGCCAACTCCCACTTTAAGGTATATCCATGAGAATTATTTACAGCCATCTCAGAGGTAGTTATTTTGGATGTTTAAAATATACATGTACCTACAAAACAAAAATGTAGACTTTATTTTTTTGTTGTTGTTGTTTTTTTGAATAGGGTCTCACTGTGTAGTTGAGACTGACCTGGAACTCACTGTGTAGTCCAGGCTGGTCTTGAACTCACAGAGATCCTCCTGCCTCAGCCTCCCGAGTGCTGGGATTACAGGCATGTGCTACCACACCCGGCCTTGTAGACTTTAGAATGTGTGTATTCTGTATAGCAAACAACTTTTCTCCTGTACCTGAAGGACTAAGTTGTGATTTTCTGATAAACAGGCATATAACAGCAATATTTTCATTACCTTATCTTTTGATCTGATTTTACTGTGGTTAGTAAGGTAATGAAGCATTTACTAGCATTTCTTTCATTGCTTGTATAAAGATGGATTTAGGAGTATAGAATTGGGGAGAAAGACAGATGTATATAAATTGAAAATTCGTTCTTTCTTCCTTATCATTGTTGATTTGAGCCAGAGGCTGTGTTTCCCAGGCTGGTCTTAAACTACAGGTTTTTGGGCCGGGGATTTAACTCAGTGATTTCATTGCCTGCTTCATAAGCATAAGGTCCCAAGTTGGATCCCTGGTCCACCACCCCCCTCTGCCCATTGCAGGTTTTCACCGGGCATGTTGGCATATGCCTATAACCCCATCACTCAGGAGGCTGAGGCAGGATGATTGTCCTGAGTTCTAGGCCAGGAAAGGCTGTATAGTGCAAGGCCTGCTTGAAGTACATAGTTAGACTCTGTCTCAAAACAAAAAACAAAACCCTAAGAAAAACTAAACCAAAAAAACCTTTTAGGTTATAGTAATCCTCCTTCCTCAGCATCAGTCAGTAGCTGGGGCTACAGGTATGTGCCTCTAACCTCTGCTTAAGGTTACCTTTTCCTAGTGAGATCTGATTATACCTGAAAGTGATTTGCAGTTAAACAAATGGAGCTCTAAGAATGTAGAGTTGACTCTTAATCCCCTTAAGAGTGGCCAATTCTGTCTCTGTTGGAGCTCGGATGGCCATAGTACTTCATTCTCCATATTTGTGCTAAAAGTATGCCTGTGTAACTGCTTTCTTTTTCCATTTTCACTTTTAATGGTTATTTCCCTGTTTTGGTTGCAAGAATTTTCATTCTGAAATCTTTATCTCACCCCTTCCCATAAAAATCTTTTTCCTGTTAAATTCTCTTCTATTTTTCCATCTGTTCTCTTTAGCTGACCTCTCCACAGGATGAGAAACATAGAACTAGGATTTCTTCCTTTACGCCAGCATGTGTTTGCCATTACTTTATCTCACATGTCATTCCTTACAAAATAGACATTCTTTTAAGCCCCATGTCAGGATTTTGCTGGAATATTACATTTTTTAAAATTTCAGGCTCTGTATACTGTAATACCCTATTGATAGTTTTATGTAAATAAATTATCTTCACTTGTGCCTAGGACAAATTTTTCATTCACCAATTTCTCTTGAGTTACAGTTCAAATTTTAATTTATTGTACTCATTCATCTTATGAAAGTAGGAAAGAGTAGGTAATAATTTACATTTTGTTATTTAATCTCTTACTGTGTGCTAAGACATATCATTGCGTCCAGTTTTCTATTAGCTTCTACTAAGTCTATATACTCTATTATTTCCACATGGCTAGAAATGTTATAGCCACCCTTCTATTTAGCTTCTTTGTTCAATTTTTCTTCCATTATGAAGTTTTTAGTTTCCCTTGCTTCCTTTATCTGGATTGTCATTTTATTCTGTAGACATGTTTGTTCTATTTGCACTAAATCAGGTGACTGTGGCTACATTTTAGTTAATATGCTATAGCATAATTTTAAAAGACTTTTTCTCACAGGCTCTGAAGCATAAAAGCTGTGATTTGTTCTGACCCATTGCATTGTATCTTAAAGAAATCATATCTTAGGGCCAGGGATTTAGCTGAGTGGTTCCGCCACCTGCCTCACAAGTGCAAGGTCCTGAGTTCGATCCCCAGTACCAAAAAAAAAAAAAAAAAAAAAGAAATCATAGATGATAAATCCATTTTGAAAACTCAGTGGTGTTTAGTACTGTTTATACAATGGAATGTAGAATTTACAGATTCTGTTGGAGTATTTTTAATTAAATCCTGTATTATTTGTGGTTATCTTTTATATGGGTCTTTGGGTATTGGTTGAGTAGTCTCACTGACTCTGTTCTATCTTCCTAAAAAATCTTCAGCAATTTCTTTAGAAGTAACTTGATAATCTGTTACATACTTAGATTTAAACACTAGGAAGCAGGTAGGGAAGAGACCTTTCTTATTGGTTGTTTCAAAATTGCCCCTTTGGCTTCTTGGTTCTCATTTGGAATTTATTTCTTTTACAGGTCTAGAGTTGCAGTTATGAAGTACTGATGTGCTTCTGGCAGAAAAAGGTTTTAGGTTTTGACTTATGTCTTTTTGTTCTGATTTGATTTGCATGTATAGATGTTTTATTTGGATCTAGTTGTCCTGTTCTTATTTTTTCTTTTGATAGTCTACATTGTTTGGGGCTTTCGTTTCTTTTCTTTTTTTTGGTACTGGGGATCGAACTCGGGTCCTTGTGCTGGCGAGGCAGGTGGCAGAACCACTGAGCTAAATTCCTGGCCCTATTTGGGGCTTTCTGAAGTTTTAAAACCTCACATTTTTGTTGGATGCCACTTCTCCACATTGGAAGCCTTTTGTTTAACCTTTGCACTAAAAAATTCTAGTTATGATGTGACCATCTCCTTCGACAAGGTTGTTTTTCTTTTCTTGCACGCTTACATCTTTCCCTATTCATTTACTTTGGATTTTGTTTGTTCAGGGAGGTTCTATGCTTCTTTTAGTCGTAGATTAGAATGCATGCTTTCTGAACTAATGATTGGGTACATCTTTTATGGCTCTTTTGTATTGCTGTGGTGAGCTTCTGATGTTATCTAAGTTTGTTAACATTTCCAGATGTTAATTTTTGGATAGTCCAGCTTCACAAGATATTCCTTGCTAGTAAGAGGGAGACTTTCCCAACATCTCTAGTTCTTCCGTGTCTACTTAATTTTGCCATAAGTCTGTGACCCTCATGCCAATATTTTTCTTTGTCCTTGGTTCTTTTTCTTCTACTAGCCTCATTGATAATTTTCCTAGGAAGATGAATGTTATGTTCTATTATGGAACTATGTTGGAAAAGTTCTTATAATACTTATTCTGAGGCTTTTGTGAATAATAGGAGATTGTTAACATTTTAATCCATCAATCCTGTGATCATTTCTGTTAATTTTGGTTCATCCCTCAGCAAATGAACTGATACAAGTTTTTGCATGCAAATTTAAGACTGATTGATTTATAGAAAATCAGTTGCCAATATTAACTCAAAAAAGCTAGGGAGGGAGACAGGCAATTTTCTATAGTCACAAGAATTCGTTCCATTTTCAGTTAGGAAAAATAAGTGGAATGTTATCCAAGAGGTCCCTTCAGGCTCTGTAAATGAGAGAAGAAGGATTAATTTATGTTGTTTTCTTAGAAGTGTAAGCTAACTGTGTCAAAAGTTGACCATCAGTGACAGCTAATTAGAGCCAGGAAAGCTTTGGACTAGAGATATGATCATCATATTCTCCAGCAAATCTAAAATTTTGAAGAGAAAGAGATTGAAAGGATTGAAGCTTGTTCCATCATCTTTAGGTGCTCCATTGTCGTAATATGTTCTGTTTTTTGCTTGAAGTAGCCTAAGTTGTTTGTAGTAATTGAAATTACTACAGTCAGGTAAATATACAAGTGATCTCTATAGTTAAAGTGCTTCATCTCCTTATTCTTCTTTCCCTCAGCCATTCCTCAGTAGCAGATATAGTCTTTAAACCTCTGATTCCCACCAGTCCTTTTTCTATACCAAACACTTTCTAAAATCTGCTTGATGTTTCTCAAATGCCCTTGGCACCAGACAGTGCTCTTTTCAGTCACACATGGTATAGTGGTACTTCAGCCGTTGTCAGAGGAAGGATTAGTTATGCCATGGAAGATAGTTGTTCAGGGTGTCTATCCCTGAGTGGAAATGAAATTTTGTTCTGTTTCTATGCTTAACTTGCTCACAATATTGGGCAGTTATCTTTTGGCCTTGATAATTGTCTTTTTTAAAATAAAAAGGTTTAAAATCATTTTAAAACCATTGCCTGTTATTATGTAATGTGTTACTTAGCAATGCAGAGTAACAACTGGGGCTTTATACCTCTTTTAGAGATATATTTCTAGGAATTCTGCCAAAGATTACATTGACTATCTTTATTTCCTGAATTCTTTGTAAGGTTCTACTTAGCTTTTTTTTGAGACAGGTTCTCACTATGTAGTTGAGACTGACCTGGAGCTCACTGTGTAACCCAGGCTGGTCTCAAATTCACAGCAATCCTCCTGCCTCAGCCTGAGGTGCTGGGATTACAGGCGTGAGCCTCCAGGCCTGCCTTGTTTTGTTTTTTTATTTATTCTTTGGTACTGAAGATTGAGGATTGAACTCTGGCCTGGCCCTTAGCTCCAGGCAGGCTGTGGAACCACTGAGCCAAATCCCTGGTCCTGTTTTGTTTTGATAACAGAGTCTCACTGTGTAATTCAGCCTGACTTGAATTTATTATGTAGTCTACCCAGGCTGGCCTCAAACTTGCCATGATACTCCTGCCTCAGCCTCCCAAGGGCTGGGATTACAGGCCTGTGCCACCACAGCTGGCAGTACACTTTTGATATATATATTGATCACATTCATCATAAGAATTTATACCTGGATAAAATATATCTTGATTCTTCTTTTTTTTGTTGTTGTTGTTTTGTTTTGTTTTATTTTTTGATATTTTTGAAACAGCGTCTCACTATGTAGTTGAGACTGACCTGGAACTCACTATGTAGCCCAGGCTGGTCTCGAACTCACAGCGATCCTCCTGCTTCAGCCTCCCAAGTGCTGGGTTTACAGGTGTGTGCCACCACGCCCGGCCTTGATTCTTCTTTTTTTTCCCCAATCCCTTCCCTTCAACCCCTTTTCCTCTCCTTATTTACAGGTGCTTTGTTTCTGTATCTTCCTCCATTTTGCAAAAGATCTACCTCCCTTTTTTCTATTATCTGTCTTTTAACTTTGTTCTTTGTTTATATTTTGGGTAAAGATATGTATATGTATACCTATGTTTATAGCAGCACAATTGATAATAGTTAAATATTGAAAGCAGTCTAAGGCCGGGGATTTAGCTCAGCGGTTCGGTGGCCTGCCTTGCAAGTGCAAGAACCCAAGTTCAATCCCTGGTACCCAAAAGGAAGCAGTCTGTATGTCCATTAGCAGATGAATGGATAAAGAAAATGTATTTTTATAAAATGAGTACTACTGTACCACAAAGAAGGATAAATTTGAGTCATTTATAGGAAAATGGTTGTATTTTAGGGCTATAATATTAAGCAGATGAACTTTTCAAACTGTTTTTCTTCCGTTAGTCAGGGCCTACTTTTGTCTCTACTGAAACCTTGCAATTTTTACCTCACCTAATATATACATTTGTAAAGTGACAACATGATGTAGAAAATGCTGAAATAAGACCTGGTTTGAAATTCCTTGGTTACTGCTTTCAAGGAGTAACCTGATCAAACATGTAATCTGTTTAAGTCTCAGTTTTCCTGTCTATAGAGTGTGGAGATAACCTGCATGTTTACTTTAAAGGTCTGAGAATTGTTAAATGAGATTATATATGTGAAACTGTTTGTAAATGTATTCTACTGGTCATTAGTTATCAAAACCATTTCTATAAATGTTGAGTGGTTGACATTCTTGCATGACTACATGGCCATTTAATCTGAGTTTGCTTAAAACTTTGGACAATTTTAGATTAGATGTTTTACTCTTCCCCACCCCAGTACTGGGGATTATACTCAGGGCCTTCACACTGAACTATATCCACAGCCTGTTTTTTATTTTTGAGACAGGGTCTTACTAAGTTGCCCAGGCTGGGGTTGAACTTGCAGTATTCCTGCCTCAGCCTTCCACAATGCTATAGCATATACTGCCACACCTGACTGACATTGTTCTTTATGTACCTTATTTTAATGCTTTTCATTAGTTGAGTTTTGAAAATATAACTGCCTCTGGATTAGTGCTACTCAGGCCATTTATGAACGGATGGCAGACCTCTGGTAGTGTTAAGAAACTTGCATATTTTGTTTCTTTGGCCCAAGAAATCCACTTTTCAGTACTTCCCTTTGTAGTTTTCAAACTATCCTTGAAGAAGCATGGCATCTTTCCAGGAATGGAACTTAAGGTCCTTGGGGTAGTTTTTTATTTTATTTATTATTATTGTTATTGATTAATTTTTTTTGGCAGTACCAGGGATTAAACTCGACCTTGCGCTTGCAAGGCAGGCATGGCACCACTGAGCTAAATCCCCAGCCTATTCATTCATTCATTTATTTTTGAGAACAGGGTTACACTGTGTAGTTCAGGCTTGTCTTGAACTATATATCCCAGACTGGCCTTGAACTCACAGTGATCCTCCTGCCTCAGCTTCTTAAGTGCTAGGATTACTTGGGATAGTTTTACCACTGAAGTTTTTTCATTGTTACCCTAATATATGTTTTGGGTTTTTTTTGGCTTTTTGAGACAGGGTCTCACTATGTAGTTGATACTGACCTGGAACTCACTGTGTAGCCCAGGGTGGTCTCAAACTCATAGCAATCCTCCTGCCTCAGCCTCCCGAGTGCTGGGATTACAGGCATTCGCTACCACACCCAGCTCCTAATGCATTTGAACTCAGTGATACAGGTGACATAAAATCAAAGCTGGTATTTTCTAGTGACTGGCACCATTCATTGTATACACATTGTCAAGACAGCTGCTTAGGGGCCCCTGCAACAGTTTATGTGATGAAACTCATACTGTTTGTTGCTTCTCATATAAGCCACAGATTGGTAGTTTATAATTTAGATATGAGGATGGTAAATAGCAGTGGTAACTTAGCTGCTTGCCCTCCTCTCATTTGAGTCACAACTTAGTGCTGTGTCCTGGTGGCTGTGAGTTCCATCATTTAACTGGAATGTGAAATTCAAGCTGTCAGTGTTTCTGAGACAGTTTTTACTGTTTGCAAAGCAGGTCTTTCCCTCTGCTAGAATCTTTGGACTCTAAATCGAACATTTCACCCTTGTTCCTTTCACTGAACCAAAGCATGAACATTTCTGATGAATGAGCTGTGTTTCTGTTGTGACCTTTCAGACAGGAGAAATTAATACTTTTATGTATGGCCTAGTAGTACTTAATAGACTTTTGAAAGTCTAATCTATGAAATGGTATTACCAGCACTTTTAAAAGAGGTATTATTACCCAAATAGTGTACAAAACTTATTTTAGGAACAAATTTCACCAATTTACTTAGTTTTTCATTTGCACCAACTAACAGTGTTTGGGCATTTAAACTTTGCTGTGGATTTTTATTTTGCCTTGTTGTGAAGTCTCAGAGATTTAAATGAATCTGGAAAGCTGTTATCTTGATTGTAACTGATCTGGACCCAATTCAAGAGCCCTGGCAGGGTCCTTAAACAAGAGTTAGTTGAGACAGCAATGGAACATAGAGGAGGCAGGAAGACAGACAGACATTGACAAAGGAGGAGAAGGGTTCTGAGTGTGAGTTTCATGAATTTGCATAATAGGCTTATTAAAAATATTCTCAGTATAGCTGAAGTCATATTGTTTTCTCTTTTTCCTGTGGTGGGACTAACCCAGCTTTTATTCTTCATGTCAACTGCAGGTGTGTTCATCCTCGAGGGGGTGTGATTCAGAGTGTTTCTTCGTGGAAGCACGGCTCTGGCACACAGTATGTTAGCACCCGGCAAACACAGTCATGGACTACTGTGACTCCCCAGCAGACTTGGGCTTCACCAGCAGAAGTTGTTGACCTCACCTTGGATGAGGATAACAGACGTAAATACCTACTGTAATACCATGTCACTGTGTTTCCTCTGCACTGTTCCCTTCCACTTCCCCCTCCTCTTTGTGACACGGAAGTTCATTGTCATAGCTTCAGCTTCAGAAGCTCTTTGTGGCATTTGTAGAATTGAAACTCATGGAACCTCCCCTCCTTTTTTTTTTTTTAATCAAAAAAGTAATTTAGGAAAAGGACATCACAGTAAAAACAATTTCTTCTTTCCTTCAGTAGGAATATGAGAATGATGACTATTACTTGGTGACTTTTAATCTTAGGAAAGTCGCCTTACTTTTAGAATAGTATTTTAACTACCAAGTAAAGTGGATTTCAGTTTTTGAATCTTGTATTTATTTTTCTGTATAATGAAATTAATATCTAGACTTGACCACTATTCGCCCACCTCATTGTCACTCCCGCCTTGGGGCATTCGCACACATATCAGTGAGGTCCTTTAGTGGCACCTGGTAGGGCATGTACATTTAAAAACCTTTCTTTAAAAATAGAAGACAAAAATATTACAAGTATTTTTTTCTTTTAGCTTGAATCTTCTGCTTTCCTTCTTGACTTGCTCCTAGTTGACTTTCCACACCACAAATAATTGACATGCCCTTTGTGTTTATAAATACTACTAAGTGACTTACTTGGTCTTCTTGTTGCAATAATTTTTAACTCTTTGGAAAATGTTTTCTTTGGAGCAGAGGCATTTTGGATAGATGCTTACCATAAGGTTTTCTGGGCATCTGAAGTGTGTTCTGAAAGATATGTGGAAGAATCTCTCCCTCAGCTTTTTCCCCTGGTCTGTTCAAAAAACGGGAGAGCATTAAAACCTCTTACTTAGGAAACATATGAAAAATTGCATGGCGTTTAATTAAGTATAAAGGCGCTTGGAAATTGGAGAGGAAAGTGCTTTCTTCACAGCTGGTGTCTCCAGAAGGGGTATATAATAACTAACACCTCAGCTGAACTGGACCTGATGTTCTGTTTGGGTATTTTTCTCCCGTACCTTCTAAAAAAAAAAAAAGTCAAAATATTTCACAAGAAATCAAATACAAAGCACATTAACGGCACTGTAAACCTTACAGTATGTAAAGGAATCAGCAAAGGGTAGTAGAAACTTCAGGGAATTCAGGAAGAGCCAGCATTGGAGTTTTGTGGCATTAGTTACTACCTTTTTTTTCTATGACACATAATTACTAGTGAATTATTTTAAAAGCAATAGCTAGAGATAGAACACTATATATTGTACACAGGGAGGAGTAAAACAATAATGGCTCAGAAGACTTCACCTTTTGTGGGTTTTTTGTTGTTATTTGCTCTTTTTGTTTTGTGTTTTTTGTTTCCATTGTTGAATGATGTTGCTATGGCCCTTTATCTCCCTTCCCAAATGTCTTTGTGGCTCTTTCTGGTCCTAAAAGCATGAGAACTACCATTTTCAGTTTCCATTCAGTGAACACATTTACCCAGTGTGTGCTCTGCATCAAGCACTCTGTAGGGTGGGTGCTGTGGACGCCTCCAAACTGAATGAGGTTCAGCCTGCATGTGCATGCATCAGTCTGCCTGGATCCACCTGCCTGCCCTTTTCTTCTTTTTTGTATATGTGTGTAAAGACAATTTTACTCCTTTACCCTCTTCCTGTTGCATTAGTTCTTCTCTATGCCCCCTTTTTCACAGGAATGTATTTGAGCATGTGTTCTTTGATCTTCTCTGACAGCATCTCATTTGGTCTGGCCTCTGTTCTTCACAAACTTTTATTTTTTTCCCCAGTTCATTTTTAATTGAGCAGGTTAATAAGATCATGAACCTTCAGTTTTAGAACCTCATGTATCATGTTCTCTCAAATGGCCACAATCTTAGATAAAATCCAAAGACTCAGAAGCCAGCGTGAAACAGGACCTCCTGAAGATTCACTACTGGTGTATCCTTGGACCTTCACATTTTACTTTAAGATTAATTTATTGAATTTTACTGTTACACATTTTTTTTTTTAACTTGAAGTAAAATACTAGACAGAACAGAACTGTATAATTTCCGGTCTGTGTTTTCCAGGAATATCATTGGGAAGAGAGTAGCATGGAGTATATGACTTGAAGTTTTTGCAACTTTTTATTCCCTCTCCCCCAGTATCAGGGCACAGTCTCGTTTTAAAGAATGTTTTGTATTGCCTGTTTTAATATTAATGTGTTTTGACAGCTCCACTCAGCAGGTGATTTCCTTTGGTTTGCTGTGTACACTGTGGATGGCCACAGAGTGGAGTTGCAACCAGGCTCTTTTCTGCCCTCTTGCCTTTATACTTGGTTGCACTTTTCCCTCACTAGTTCCTTTTCTAACTCCCTGATGACCTGATTTGATGCACCAGAACAGAAGTTTAGGCATTAAGATGCAAAAAAGGAGAGGGAAGAGATGTTAGACAGTCAGCTCTCTCCCCTGCCTACTAGGTTGGGACTTTTAACCCAATAACTACTTAGACTATCTTTCAGCTCTTTCATTACTACATCCGGAAGAGTGGAGCTGGAGTTTTAGGCAAGATATTAATAATAACATTATATGATCTTGTACCATTTGAAATTTCTTTTAAAGGGATGACTTTCTTAAATTTTTCCATTTGGTAGCATAAATAATTCTTCATGCTTCACAAGACATTGTTTCTTTTTTGTTTGTTTGTTTTGTTTTTGTACCGAGGATCAAACTCAGGATCTCACGCTTGCCAGGCAGGCGCTATGCCACTGAGCTAAATCCCAGCCTAGTAATATCTCTGTTAAAGTGGTACAGTTGGGTCATCAATTACTTTATGTCACAACTTGGTTAAGTCTCCCTGCCCCCTGCAATTTGAAGAAACAGAGCAGCCACCCTAACTGTTGAATCATCATGACTATCCTGTAACTTATAATTGTAGCTCAGCAGTAATTTTTCATTTTGATGGTAGGGGCCTGACTGGGTGGACGCCATTATTTACAATCAGGTATCATATAAACTGCTTTTCTTGTCAGTTGTGAACAGGAACTGTCTGATTTGCTACTCTAGTCATTTGTTCATATTTACTTTTAGCAGATTAGCACCTAGATAACTTAAAATAAATTTGTTGCCTGCTTTTTTATACTGTGTCACAAGGTTTTTGAGAAAACCTAAGACACAATTTTGTATTTTAGTTTTAACCAGTTTTTAAGGCAAAGAGCTGAGCCCCTAATCCTTGTTCTCCAATGTGTATGATGTGACTTCCATGTATATATAAAAATGATTACACCCTAACCAAACTTCCTCAGATTGTGCACTGTTTGTTTAAAGTAATCATGTATTTTAGTCCAATACTGTTGTATTTTTTTCATTTTATTTAAAACACTACTTCTTACTCTTTTAACAAATTTTAAAGGGTAGTGATCTTAAAAAAAAAAATCACTGGATAACTAGGAAATTTTTTGTTGTTGTTTTGTGTTTTAAAAGAGTAGAAAGGTCCTTGGACCTTTTGCTTCTCTTACCATGAACATGAAATGTCAGCCATTGTATGGCTAGGAACCAATGCACTTGGCGGTTAACAGATCTGCTGTTGCTGGGGTGTAAGCGTGGACTTGTTGCAGTGAGGACAAATCATTGCGTAGAAGTAATGTTTTCAAATGTGCAACTCTAGTTTTTAAAATGAAATTTGGTTCTTTACGTTCTTTACTTAGTTTTTGTTTCCATTTAGTATTTAATGGTCTTTGGAGAAAAAAATAATAAAACAGAGTGTTATATATATATTTTTTGGTGCAAGATAAGATTTTCTGTTTTTTGAAATAAGTCTGTAGCATAAAGGTTAAACTATTTTAAGACAAAATAAAATAGAGTGTATTTAAACAATGATATTTGCTGAGAATTTTTTTTTTAACTGTCTGCTTCAGTTAATTAGGTGGTGCCTGGAGCAGTTCCCAGGATGCCTTTTGGATGTGAAAGTGGATTATATTTTGTTAATAGATTGTTATAAGATGCCTGATTTTCTCCAAGTGATAGCTGAATCCTACTCCCAAGATGTTTGGCCAAGTAGCCTGCGATATGTCATCTGTAGATCAAAATAGCTTTGCATTAGCTTTCCCATAGTCCCTACTTCCCTTTCCAGCTAGGGCCAGTGAGAGGGAGCTCAGAGAGGTCTGAAGGCTCCCTGGTGTTGGCCACCTCCGCTCCTGGCAACCAAACTCATGTGTAGGTCTTTTCCCAGGGACCGTCATGCCAAGGTCAAGATGGTGCAGCTACACTGAAGCAAGTACATAGGGAATACAGTGTTTTCAAAGTAGCCTCATGAACTTGCCCCCTAGTTGAATCTACTTTCAAATTTTTTTATTTGGTTATAACTATAACATCTATGGCTTATAACTTTACATGAAGGAGAATGGGTAAAACCCATCTTTAGTAAGATACTCAACTCCTGAATCTCTCAATTTTCCTCAGGAATTTTTAGTTCTGCTGGCACTGGAAAGAGATCTGTTAACAACCAGGAAATACATTGTTAACAAGTGGGAAATGTTTTCAGGTTTTGTATCTTTGTTTTTGGCAATGCCAGGGATTGAACTCAGGGCCTTGCTTATACTAAACAAGTGTTCTACCACTGAGCTATAGCCCAAACCCCTGTTTTTATATTAAAAAATGCTTTTATACTAACTTACATCTGAGTCCTAGACATTTTAATGCCTATCAACTCTATTAAATGCCTTTGACCCTAGCAGAAAATTATTTACCTAGGACTGTAATTTTGAACCTTTTCACCCTTGGATCCTGCCTTTGCAGAATAGGTACAAGTCAAAGCCCTTCAAGTTCCTGGCTACTCTTTGATCTCATCTGGTCTTCTTCCTTCTATTTGCTGTCTTTAGGCCTTCCCTTCCTTTATATGTTTATTTTTCACAGTAGATGCCAGCTATTTATAACTTCAATCTAAATAGAAAGATTATAGATAAATTTTTACTATCTTTTTGTCTGTTTCTATCTATCTATCTATAGCTTCATTTTCCCAACCAAAGCAAGGTGTTATATCTTCTGGGTTTTATTTTAATCCTCTTACTACTATTCCATGAAGGAGTGGTCCCCAGATCATAGGCTAGTATTACTTCCATAACTCTGTGTTTGAGAGCACTGATGCACCAAAGTAGAGAAGTTTCTGGGCTACAGTGGGACTTTGGCTGGGAGAGTCTCCCAGAAGGCCATAGAAAGTAGTAGAAGGAGCAGTGAGTTTGGGAAAGAGGCAAATGATGATCATGAGTTTCAGAGATAACAGAACTTCCATTGTCAAAGGATGTTTCAGTGCCATCTCTTGGCTCAGTTCATTGCTGCCATTGGTCTGCTCTTTACATGGTCGACATAACATTAGATGGGGATTCCTTTGTGTAGTAAGGATTCAGTGTTCCCTTCTGCCATGCCTTAATATGCCATTTGGTATGGTGGGTGTGTAAAGGATGGAAATGGGTACTGGCAACAAAATGAAACATCTTCAAAGAGGTATGGCTACAGCAGCTGGTGTGATTTGCTCCTAGTCTGCTGTCTGGGAATGTCCCTTGATTGTAAATTTTATCTATCTAACTTCTCACTGTTTAATAAAAGGCTATTTATTACCAGCTTTTTAGCCTTTGTGCTTTGATAACTGACACATCAGGGGAATCAGATCTGGTCCTTTCTCTGACTGTTCCATCCTGGGAGTGGGCAGTTGAAGTGTTCTGGACTATGGAGCCTTCTCTTTTACAGCTGACTGAAACAAATACATGTGACTTGAGGATTGGTTTGAATACTGGAACAAAAGGGGTCAGCCCAGAGGGTGGATGAGTGAGCTATAAAAGGCCTGACCCAGGAAGGCCACGTATCTGCTTAAAGGATTCGGTTTTTATACATATAAATTGAAGAACATCTTAGATTTTTTTCAGAAACTGAAAGGTCGGGTTGTGCTATTTTAGGGGATAATTCATTGTTCTACTGAACCATCAGGCTTTTCAGGCAGGAACTTGAGAGCTGCTCACTTCTAAAAGCTGTTTTAAAAAACTACCGTTTGCTCCTCTCATGTAAGCTTTC